AATAGTTTTTTTTTTTTTTTTTTTTTTTGTAGTTTTCGATATTTTATATTATTACGCAAAAATCGCAAAAATCGTTAGTTTGAAGGATTCTATTTTTCTCTTCACTGATTCAGCGCGTTGTTAGATTATCATTTAAAGCGTTTCTGAAGAATTTACTAAATTCTTTGTAGGAGCAGCATCGACGATGGGGTCGAATGATATGGCCATGTCGTTCTTTGTCGCTGCTCGAGCTCGATCTCATCCGCTATCCATACCACTTCAGTTATCCGTGCTTTCGGCTTTCTGCTTATTCACAGTATCGGCTGAATGTCACCCTCACACCGAATTTATGCCAGTTCGTTTTTGCATTTCATTTTTCAGTTTTTTTTTTTGAGTTTTTTTATGAGTTACATTTTTCAGCTCCTTTATGAGCTTTTTTTTCTCGAGTTTTTTTATGAGTTTTTTTTGCGAGTTTTTTTTTTTTTTTTGGTCAGCTGCTTACTGTTTCATTTTCCTTGTTTTGGTGTTATATAAATGGCCACAATATTTGGCGGTTTTTTCCGGTTTTTCCTCCGATTTTCCTCTTCGGAAAGCAGTACTGCATGCATTTATACTTCACCATTGATTATAGAGTCTCATCCACTGACTTCCTCTCACACCCTCTCTCCCTCCTCCCCTCGCCTTCCCCCTTTCCTGCCACTTCTCTCCCTCCCTGGTCTTCCATCACTGATAGATTATGGTGTACTACAAGCAACACCGTTTCCCGCAAAAGACTCTACCTTTACGTCCTTGAGCTGCATTAGTAGAGAGATTTCCGGGTCCTCTGGGCTACGTTGAAGGGGCAGCCATGTTTTCAATATTTGTTTTTTATGTTACCTGTGAAATATTATGCACTAACAGTTGTTCTAGGTGATTTTTAGCAAATTACAGGAAGTTACTATAACTATTGTTATTATACCTTCATTATTATTAACATTATCACTTATTATCACTGTTACTACCACCATCATTATCGCTGTTATTATCATTACTATTATCACTTTTGTTATCACTAATATTTCTCACTGAATTTTTTTTTGAACAAATCGATATTGTTTGGGTCCAGTAATCTTTTTTTTTTTCCAGGAAATCATTTATTGTAACGATACCCGAAGAAGCGCAGCTACTCCCTGTCATTCGCCGTTTTTATCAGGCTGATGCGGAAGTGGATATTGCCAACTGGTCTCCGCTGGCGTTCGTAGATCTTTCCCTCAGCAATGTATGTGAAATTTTGAATTCTCATATTTCTGTAGGCGACAGCTACAGCTATGATCTAACTCGCAAAACTTTCATTTTCGACTATTTGCTTAGCCTTAAGGGTTTATCAGTGGGACATTTCGACATAGTGGGACATGCATATGAATTGCCTT